CAACAACGAACCATATTCATCTTGACAAATGTAAAAAGTTATGAATGAGAATAAATTTCTTCACAATAAAAAAATATGTATTTGACCAATTTCAAATATATCTTCATCAGAAAATGATAATAGTAAACAATAATAACAATAAAAATAATAATCATACATAAATAATAATAACAATAATAATAAGAAGAATAAGAATAAGAATAAGAATATAATGATGATAAAATAATAATAAAATAACAATAACAATGAAAATAATAACAGCACTAATATTACTACTAATAAGAATAATAAAAAATAATAATCATAATCACTGTATATTAATAATACTAATACTAGTACTAATACTAATAATAACAATGATACTACTACTAATAATAATAACAATAACAATAATAAATACCAATAACATCAATAATAACCAAACAATAATAATAACAATAACAATAATAATCATTATTCTAATTAAAATGATAATAATAATAATAAAATAATAATAATAATAAATGATATTAATAATACTTATATACATGTGTATATATAATAATAATAATGATGATGATAATAATAATAATAATGATAACAATAACGATAATAATCATAATTATTATCACTATTATCACTATCACTATCATAATAATAATAATAATAATAATAATAATATAATAATAATAATAATAATAATAATCATAATAATCATAATCATAATAATAATAATAACAATAATAATAACTCAATATTACACAATAAAATGACCACAGTAATATTATTTATTTACATAATACAGATGGCTAAAAATCAACAATAATACAGATGATTATCCTGACAAAAATAGGTATTGCATTGTTTATAAATAAATATCAAATAAAGATAGGAATACACAACCATAAATAATGTGCACTGATAACTTCAATAAAAGTAATTAATCAAATCCACAAACCTTATCACCAACAATTTCCTTCTGACCTTGTAGAAACCACAGCAACGTAAATACGCAATGCACAGTCTTCCACTTATGGCTAGCGAAAACCACACACAGGGCGGTTCATCCTCTCCCTTCAATTATAAATCACTTACTTTTACCAATTATATTTTACTTTTTAAGTATTTTTATAGATATAGCTAAAGATAATGCAAGTTTGAAGAGGAAGTTCATAATCTTAAATAATATTATTACCATTATCATTACTATATCATTAACTATATTATAATTTTTTATTTCAACTGTCCCATGTCCCTATGTCCTACTTATAAAACAACTTTGGCTTTTGGAATGTTCTTGCATAGAATCATATTTAACCCACTACTGACAAAAATGGTGTATACCCACATGCCATGCCAACTGTGAGTTTAGTTTATTAATTGTATTTACGCATAGCTAGCTCTTCAAGTGCTTAGTCACCAAGGAGTTAAATTACTACATACCTATCCCTCCTGTTTACTTTTTCCTTGATTATGGGAAATTTTTCTTTGGTTTTATATTCATACTAGTATTGTTCCTAACATTATAATAATCATGCCAATAGTGATAACAGTATCAATATTAACAGCATTAGAAATAAAAAATTCCAAAACCTGAAGGAGAGAGGAAATTAGGAGTGGCCTTGTAGGTCTACTTATGGACTCCCTGGTGGCTGAGCACTTGTGGGGTCATCTCAGAGTAAAGAAATTTCACAAATTAAACAACGGTGAGCACTGTATGTTCCTAGTAGCATTAGGTTAAAAGATATATCTGTATGATTTTTTACTATGTAATTTGCTTGTAATATCTCTTGCTTACTACATTTGCACATCCATCTACAAACACATTTAGTCTCCCATAATAAATAACAATTTTGCTATGAGGATCCTTCCTCCAGTTTATGCCTAATCTTATAACCATTATTTTTTTCTTTTTATACAAGGATTCTCTCACAAAAGCCTTCATCAACTCTGACACATCTAAACCTAATCTTCACAACTCTTTAATACAAAAATTCATGGTTCATTACCAAACTCTAAGACCTCCACACTTACTTAACATAATTTCCATTGCACAAGACTTCTTGCTTTTGAAAGGATTCAGGCAAGATTTTTTCAAACACCTAGACTTCTGTAATATTACACAAATATTTCTCAGTCCTTTCATTCCTAGCAAGTACAAAGGTAAAATTTTCTTTCTAACTAATGGGAAGTGGAACTAAAATTATTCCCATTTTTTAAATATAAATGATATAACTATAACCAAATATATCATATTATGAAGAAGACTAAAGGTCTATAATTTTGTAACATTACATAACTTACAACACCATAAACCTATGCGGTAAAGGGTAAAATGAATCAGAATGAATTACAACTTCAGCATTTATATAAAACCCTACATTTATTTCCTAAATGAATAAGAAAGATGTCATCCCAACACACAAACAAAAACAAAATTTCCTAAATAAAGTAACATTCTCTCACAAAACTACCTCTACAATAAACATGAGAAAAGGAACACCAAAAAGGCAGATAAAAGGAAGAGAAAAAAAAAGCCAAACGCAAGGCGAGGAGGATAGAGAAAAGGAGAGAAAAATGAAATATTCTTCCCTCATTCGCACCTTTTGCCTCAGGCCATGGAAAGGTAAAGGAAAAATCGGCCTGCATTCAGCACCTCTTTTGAATAAATCCTTCACCTGGGAGGCTAAACAAGTCCTCCCCGGCCGAAGAGGTGGGTGAAAAGGGCCCCTCCGATGGGATAAAAGGTGTGGCTTCTTACTGGACAGACAGACACTCACCAACAGGTAGTAGTTACACTCCAACTCTAATACACTCAAAACAACGCACTCGTCATTCCACACACATTTACCTGCACTTCCGCGGCTCTCGGCCTCTTTCGTCCCTCCCGCGCGTATATCGGATAGTAAGGGACTCATTTACTCACCATTTTTGTGCGCACTCGACGAATTTAATAAAGAAAAGGCTATAATTCCGAGGAACACCACCACACTGAACCCCGCGCCGCCATGTTCACTCAGGCACTGACGTCACGCGTTGTCTCAAGTCGTGACGCGATCCGGTCGTCGTTGGCCTCGGCTTCGACGCGCGCCGTCCGAAAGCGTGGCTGCGTCCTGCCTCAGTACCCGTGGCTTTGTGTCCCTTTTAATTTTAAAGCTGTCGTTGTCTCGTCATCCGTAAGGCATGGCACGAATAATCGCAAATTTCACAGGACTTCTCCTGTGGGCTATCATGAAATATGCATTTCTCTCCTGAATGCGAATATTATTATTCATCGACAGATATTTCTCTTAGCCTTTCACCGGGGAGGCATATTGACCAACGCACAGTAAAACAAGGAGATAGAAGCGAAGACCCATGTAGGAAAGCTCACACACACTTCACTCGGGCGTTATCTTCCATGGCAGAGGGACTGAGCAAGGGATAAGGGGGAGAGGACGAGATAGGTGCATCCTAACAGGAAGGATCTATTGGGTGAAGTACCTCAGCGCCGTCACCGTTGCAGGAAATAACTCATCAACTTTCGGAACGCGCGAGTGAACTAAACTAGCTTGGAAAAATTTGAAGTGCGAGTGAACATACATATACACCGAGGCTTATTCCTTTACCCCGGGGTGAGAATTCCTTGGACAATAGCCTCTTTCTCTCTCCTTCCCCCGCAACATCCCAGGGGAGGACTTTGCACTTGGTCTGCGGCGGGAAGTTGCGGGAAAAAGGGCTGAACCCGCACTCAAGCAGGAGGAGAAAAGCCCGCCACACCTGAGAGACAATAGTCAGCGTTATGTAATTGCTGTTGCTTTTGACGTTAATTCCTTCCGTTTGATGGAGATAATGACTGCGATGCACGTTGTATGGTGGCGGTGTTGGCGAAGTGCTGCGTAATGTCACACGCACACACAAGGTTATATATATGTATGTATGTTTATATGTACACACACATCACACACCCATATATGTGTGTTGTGTGTGTGTGTGTTTGTGTATACATATATATAATATATATATATATATATATTATATATATATATATATATATATATACATACATATATATTCATCTGCGTGTGTGTGTACATATGTACATATATATGTGTATGTGTGTACATATATAAATATATATGTTCACATATATCTACACACACACACACACACACATACACACACAACACACAACACACACACACACACACACACGACACACACACACACACATACACACATACACACACACATACACACACACACACACACACACACACACACACACACATATATATATATATATATATATATATATATATATATATGTTTATATATATGTATATATATAACACATACGTATGTACGTTTGAGTGTATGGATCTCATACAGACACACATACGTTTGTGTAGCAGATATACCGCTTTCGGTATAAGCAATAGCATATGTCAGTGTCATATGTTCACATGTTGCTCCTACACGCGCAGTATTACCGAAAGATCGTTATCACAAGGAAAGGGAATACCGACTGTCACAACTAAATGATAATAATAATAAAACGAAACTACAGCTAAGTTACGTAACTCATAAACAACTTTTACCAAAGCAGCCTTTGAATTCAGTATTAAATCATTAAATTAAATTCATGATTAAACTCATGATTAGTGATGAAAAGGGTGCGGTTTGCACTTTAGAACCCGAGAAGACAAACATATGCATTTTATGTTATATAATACTTGATATGACTTTTTTATCGTTTGCAGTCTACGCAACATTCCGAACACATGTAAGTACTTTGAACCGTGTGACAAATATAAATAATTGCTGACACCTACCCAAATATATCTATCAACATTACAAACAGTTCTTAATGTCTTTCGCATATTGATCATATCTATCAAATAATATAAACATTTTCGATATGTACCATTCTATAAACATTTCTTGCGTGTTTCGTATTTCGATGTTCTTCTCTAACAAACATGTCCAAACACAAAAACGACAACAAGAACAACAAAAACGAATGTAAGGAAGATACGAACACATAGACGAGGGAAACGGAGGGACGGAAAACAAACAAACGTGCGTGCTGACGTGTGGCGTTCTTTTCCTTGGCCGTCACCAACAAGCTACAGACACACATACAGACACACGCATACATATACACACATACATATACAAATACACAACGTACATACACACACACACACAACACAAACGCACACACAAACAAACAAATAAATAACTTATTACAAACCCACACGCCAATAACATAAATATGCATGCAACACACATACTCACACACACACACACATACACATACACATACACACGCGTGCGAACACACACACAAACACACACACACATACGCACGCACATATATGTACTCACACACTCAAACACTCTCTCTCTCTCTTTCTCTCTCACTATTTGTCTCAAACAACGCGCACGCACACGCGCACACACACACGCGCGCGCACACACACACACACACACACACACACACACACACACACACACACACACACACACACACACACACATACACACACACACACACACACACACACACACACACACACATACACACACACACACACATACGCACGCACATGTATGTACTCACACACTCAAGCTCTCTCTCTTTCTTTCTCTCTTTCTCACACACACGCAAACATAAATATGCACGCACACACTCACCCTCTGTCACTCTTTCTCTCACACACACACGCACACACACGCATACACACACGCGCGCACATACACACACGTCGTTTCTCCACTAATGCGGGATTTCGGCCCTTTGTTACTTGCTCGAATCACGTGTTTCCCCTTTCTTGTGTCTTTGTTTATATTCGGGATTCTTTTCTTCGTTTTTAGTTGTTTTTTTCTTTATTTCTTTGACTATGTTTGTGACTCTGCCTCTGTCTTTGTCTTTGTGTCTGTGTCTGTTTGTCTTTCTGTCTCTCTCTCTCTCTCTCTTCTCTCTCTCTCTCTCTCTCTCTCTCCTCTCTTCTCTCTCTCTTCTCTCTCTCTCTATGTTTCTTTATCTATCTATTTATAACTATCTCTCCCTCTCTCCCTCCCTCCCTATATCCTGTCTCCCTCTCTCCCTCCCATCCTATATCCTGTCTCCCTCTCTCCCACTCTCTCTCTCTCTTTCTCTGTCTATCTTTCTAATTCTTTCTCTCTCTCTCCCTCCCTCCTTCCCTGCCTTCCTCTCTCTCTCTCTCTTTCACACACACATGCACACACACATTTTATCTCTCTGTCTGTCTATCTACTTGTCTCTCCATTCCTCTCTCTGCCTTCCCCCCCTCTCTCTCCATCTCCTCCCCTCCCTTCCGCTCTCTCTCTCTCTCTCGCTTCCTTTCATCCTCCACCTCCCCCTTACTCTCCCTCTCTCCCTCCCCTCCCCTTCATTTCCCTTCTCTTCCTCCCTTAATTTTCTCTCTCCTTGCTTCCTTTCCCCTTTCTCTCTCCTTTCTTTCCCCCTCTCTCCCTTCTTTTTTCTCTCTCCGCCCCTTCGGTCAGATCCGTCACGATGACAGGATTCTCCAGCAGGTACAAATCTGTGCCCAGACATCTCCGTCTGCCTGAGTATATGTGCCTCTCAAGTGCCGCCTCACGAGCCCCTCTCACCGTACTCTCAGGAACCCTTGACTCGGAACGCAACTCACTCTCGAGAAGCGGACGGCCATGAAATCGGTATTCTAACACACTGGCGTTATAACTGATTCTTTGATCGAATTAGATAGTCTATAAGGTTGCTATGAAAGGGTTGTATGGATGTTTACAAAGGGATTTCCTACGTGATGTAGAATGTACGTGCTATAGAGGTTCGAGAGCATTCCGATTAGCTAAATAGGGTTTGATCCCCTTTTTTCTACTCTTACCGCTTCCCTTTTTTTCTGTCAATTTATTCTCCCTAATATGGCGACTCATGATGATGTCCATGTCACATTACGTACAATATAATCGTTTTTTGTGTGTCTTGCGTTTTAACAAACCTTGTTCCTTACGCGTTGGCTCTTCTGCCAGATGATGCGTCGAGCCAGCTGAGCGTCATGAGCGAAAACGTTGCAGCAAGTTCTTAGGTTGTGTCTGCAATCCCTTTTCTTAGCTGGCGGTTCATGTTTAGTATGCTTATTATCATTACTGTTATTATTATTGTTGTTATGATTATCATCATCATCATTACTGTCATTATTATTACTATTATTATTATTATTATTATTATTATTAACATTATTATCATTATCATTATTATTATTATTATTGTTATTATTACTATTACTGGTATTAATGAAAATAATTATGATAACATTATTACTCTTATTACTACCATTAGTGTAGATAAAATTATAATTATTGTTATTACTATCATGTCATGTCATTATTATTGTCAGGACCATTCTCCAATAAGAGAAAAAAGTGGAGGAAGAATAGAATGATGAAAAAGCTTAGAAACGAAGAGAAGAAACCCAGATAGACAGAGAGTGAGTGAGAGGGAGAGAAAGAGATAGATAGAGAGAGAGAGAGAGAGAGAGAGAGAGAGAGAGAGAGAGAGGGAGGGAGGGAGGGAGGGAGGGAGGGAGGGAGAGAGAGAGAGAGAAGAGAGAGAGAGAGAGAGAGAGAGAGAGAGAGGAGAGAAGAGAGAGAGAGAGAGAGAAGGACAGAGACAGAAACAGAGACAGAGACCGACAGACAGATAGACAGAGACAGAGGCACACACACATACACACGGGGAGAGAGAGAGAGAGAGAGAGAGAGAGAGAGAGAGAGAGAGAAGAGAGAGAGAGAGAGGAAGAGAGACAGAGAGAAGAGAGTGAGAGAGAGAGAGAATATATTCCCTCCACACAACCCTCAGATGTTCGCCGTAATGAAGTGGAGCGAGTCATGCAAGGCCCCGCGCTGCGTCGTCACATGCGGTGTTGACTGGTGGTGGTGATGATTTGTAGTAATGGTGGTCGTGGTAGTTTTGAATGGTGTTGGTGGTGATGGTGGTAATGGTTGGGTTTTGTTGGTGGTAATGATAGTGGTGTGTTTATTGGTGGTAATGGTGGTGGTGATGATGATGATGATGATGATGATGGTGGTGGTGGTGATAGTGCTGGCGGTTGTTGGTTGTGATGGTGGTAGCGGTGAGGGTGTTTGTTGTTTGTTGTTGTTGGTGATGGTGGTGGTGTTGTTGATGGTGAAAATGATGATGGTGGTGGTGTTGGTGTTTATGATAATGGTTCTGGTGGGGTGATGTTGATGATGGTGATGATGATTGTGGTGGTGATGGCCGTATTAGTGTTGTCACTTGTTCCTTCAGGGTCTATCTTGGCTGTTGTTGTTGTTGGTTTGTTGTTACTCATGAGTTTGTTGTTGTTCCTGGTCTGTTTATTTTTTACTGTTTTACTGATGCTATTTCATTATCATCACCATCATCATCACTTCATCATCATCATTATCATCATCATCATCATCATCTTCATCATCATTATCCTCCTCCTCATCATATCATTACGTGCAATGTCTTCGTATTTATTACCTGTACTTTAACCAGCTTGTTTGTATGGATAATAATTTAAAAAAAATAATATCATATTTCGTCCCAGACTAGTGAAAAAAAAATCTTGCTAATGAAATAAATCAATCAAGTAATTTCAAAGAGAGAGAGAGAAAAAATCTATATCTATTTTACGTGAATTCCAAGACATTGAATCCAGGATCACAAAATATAACCCAGATAGGTACATATATAATTCAGGATTCAGAAAATAATCCGTCTTTTGCACGTATTTGCTGGAAAAGATAAGTATCTATAAAACTAGCGTAGGTGACCATTAGTGACGTTTCCTGAGCATGAAAGAGATGTACCAACAGAATAATTTATATCTCTCACAAGCTTCTCAGTGATATACATTTTCTGCTGGGTTGGATGAGCAGTGTGCTTATCGAGTTGAAAGTTCTGTTCTTGTTTATAATGTGTTCATATTTATAATGTTGCTTATAGGTGGTCGAATGTTTATGGAAGATTGAATACTGAAATTGCCGTGTTTATTCATTATGTAGCTTATAGGTGTAGAATGCTTAAGAATGATATATGATAATGATGGTAGGCATAATATTAGCCAAAAGGATAATGAGAGATGCTGACTATAATGATAATGAAAATGAAAGTGATGGCGATGATAATGATAAGTGATAATGATGATGGTATCAAGAACTGAATGGACCCGTGGACATATAATAACTAAAATGTAATAATAATAATTATGATAATATTAATGAAAATTATATTACTGAGAATAGTAATGATGATAATAATCAAAATGATATCAATAATAAAAACAACAATAATGATAATAACTAAAGGTATATGTCTGTGCACACACACATATATATACATACATACATACATATATATATATATATATATATATATATATATATATATATATATACACGCATACGTATATATGTATACTTATATACATATATATATGTATATATATGCATATATATGTATATATACGTATATATAATAATGTATATAATATATATATATATATATATATATATATTCATATACATATATATATATATATATATTTATATATATATATATATATATATATATATATATATATGTATATATATGTATATATATATATATATACATATATATATATATATGAATAAATTAATTATATATATACATAAATAAAATATACATATATATATAATATACATACATATATATATATATATATATATATATATAATATATATATATATATATACATATATATATTATATATATGAATAAATTAATTAATAATAATGATGATAATTAAGATAATATCAATGATAATAACAAAAGGTATATGTGTGTGTGCATACTTACATACATATATATATATATATATATATATATATATATATATATACATATATATATATATATATATATATATATATATATATATATATATATATATATGCATATACATATACATATACATATACATATATATGTATATGTATGTATAAATATATATGATATAATAGATATGAATATATATAAATGTATATATATATATATATGTATATATATGTATATATGTATATATGTATATATATATATATATATTCATAGACATATATATATAATACATATATATATATATA